TGTCAGAAGTCGAAGTGGCCATTTGACATGAGATAGGTATTATCACAAGCAGCTTGAAAAACTGATTCCAAAACAGCCTTTCTTAGCTGCAGAACGAATCTGGACCTAAAGTTATCGCATTTGATTTGCGCGAAATTTACAAAGTGATGGTAGCCGAAACTATCACCATGTGTTTTGGGCTCAAGACTAGATGAAACAGTTTGTCAATGCTTACTGTCATTTAACTCCCTCCCCTTGTAAAATTTGGTGATTGAAATGTCCACTTTCGATCCAGGTTCGTTCTGCAGCTAAAAAAGACTGTTGGAATCAGCGTTCCAAGCTGCTTCGGATAATACCTATCTCATGTCAAAAGGCCACTGCGACTTGTGGCACTTCCCTTGTAAGGAAGGTTATTCAAAGATTGAAAGGTTGCTTCTGGTATGAGGCACAGCTCAAGTTTTCAAAGCAGCACAATGCTTCAAAATCTTCAAAAACTCATTGATCAGATAAAAAAAATAAACCATGAGAGCCCGAAAAATGAAGCAAAAAAGTAGCGGACACAGCTCACCTTCACCCATTTCATTCGCCACTCTCTTTCAGCTGGACTCAAACCAGCAGCTCGCACACGCTCGTCAGCCATATGCAGCTCCAACGACATTGGGTCATTGAACCTAGATACAAGCTGTTTAGAAAACCCATCACCAAGATTACTCTATATAGTATGAATTTACCGATGACTGGGCAGATCGGAACCAGATTTCTTCAATGTTGTTGGAGGGGGTATACCAGACCGTGTATATGGCGAATTGCCTTCCCTGGGCGGCTTCACATACTGGTTACCCATCTCTAAAGTACACAGGTTGGTTTACAGTAGCAAAGAAAGTAGTATGCAATCGAAACCAGAGGCTAAAGCAAAAATTGTAATTGTTGCAAAAAAGCGACCAAATGTGAAAAGGAGCCGTTAGACGGGAAGTAGCTGATCCTTTTTTCTGATTAACAACGATGTACACTTATCAGGAAGCACATTTTTCCACAAGCACTGATAATTTTTGTTTGGAAGGTGGTAATGAACACATGCATTCATTTAAGGCAGATGAAGGAAATAACGAAGGACTTCTGCACTTAAAACTTCAACTAAAAGTGGAAATGACGACAAATTTCCTATTGCCTATCCACTATTTCCTGAACTAGCGAAAATATCGACAGATGTGACTTTGCCATCAAACTATTAACTATTATTAACTACTTCACTATCCCACCATTTACTAATCAACTATTACTGTAAAACCGACTGAACTTACTATAATTTATTATGCCATTTCTGTTGTTCTCATGGTCTACTGATCTTTTCCCGCGCTCTCCCCCGCACATGTATAAAAGCCAAGTCCTTTTTTTCGATGTTATTAACCACTCTTCCCCACTTCCCCACCAAAAACCCTCGGGAGTGGTTTACAACTGCATGTTACCCTGTAAAAGGGTATAGGCGCAAGAGACGTTATGGAAATAATTTACTGAAAACTAAATCTAACTTCTAAACTGGCTAATGAAGTACTTGCTGACTTTTTATATGGCAATAAGAATGACACCTATACAGTCAAATGGAGAAGTTTTCAGCTCAAAGAGGAGACAAACTCTA